CCGCCGGCCCTCCCTGCTCTCCTGTCCCGGCCCTGGTTCATGTCCCACCCCGCCTTCTGTGTCACGTCCCACCAGGTGTCCCCACCCCGCTTCTACCCCACAGCTCACCCTGTGTCCATCCCATGTGTGCAATCTCATGTCCCACCCCATGTCCCATCCCATGTCCCACCATGTGTCCCATCCCATGTCCCATTCCGTTTCCATTCCATGTGTGCCATCCCATGTCCCACCGCGTGTCCATCCCACATCCCACCATGTCCCGTGTCTCCATCCCATGTGTCCCATCCCGTGTCCCATCCCACGTCCATCCCACATCCCACCCTGTGTCCCATCGCATGTTCCATCCCGTGTCCATCCCGTGTCCCACCATGCGTCCCACCCCATGTCCCATCCCATGTCCCACCATGTGTCCTATCCTGTGTCCCATTCCATGTCCATCCCATGTCCCACCATGCATCCCATCCTGTGTCCCATCCCATATCCCATCCCGTGTCCATCCCAGGTCCCACCATGTGTCCCATCCTGTGTCCTATCCTGTGTCCATCCCATGTCCCACCATGTGTCCCTCCCCATGTCCCATCCTGTGTCCCACCATGTGCCCCATCCCATGTCCCATCTCATGTCCCATCCCATGTCCCACCATGTGTCCCATCCTGTGTCCATCCCACCATATGTCCCATTGCATGTCCCATCCTGTGTCCAACGTGTCCCACCATGTGCCCCATCCCATGTCCCATCTCATGTCCCATCCCATGTCCCACCATGTGTCCCATCCTGTGTCCATCCCACCATATGTCCCATTGCATGTCCCATCCCATGTGACCCACCTCATGTCCCATCCTGTGACCATCCCATGTCCCACCATGTGTCCCCTCCCATGTCCCACCCCATGTCCCACCCCGTGTCCCCCGGGTGCCACCGTACCCACGTAGACGTTGCCCTGGGTGTTGGCCATGACGTTGGCTCCTGGTGACTCCCCGCTCACCGGCTCCTCACCGTCCACCTGCAGCCACCCGCGCCGGCCCTCCCTGCACGGCACCC